TGAGGTTGTGTGGTGTGTGTGTGTGTGTGTGTGTGTGTGTGTGTGTGTGTGTGTGTGTGTGTTTGTGTGTGTGTGTGTTTGTGCGTGTGCGTGCATTATGTATTATTATAGATATGTAGGTGGGAGCTTAAGAGGGAGAGAGCCATGATGACTGAATAGATCTGGGAATCAGCACTGTTAGCCAGGTGGCCTTTATAATGCCCCCAATACTACAGCTTGAATGTAGAGTGTGATGTTTATCAGGCAAGCACTCTACCAAGTGAGTTACTTCCTCAGCTCTCTCGAGTCATTTTTTAGACCTTTATTGAACTCATAAAAGTAACTTGGAACCTTTAAAAAAAAATGTCTAAGCCGTAAAACAGGTTTTCTGTGTGAAATTATTAGACTTTTATTCTTTCTTTTCCTTCCTTCCTTCCTTCCTTCCCTCCTTTCCTCCTCCTAGCATGGTAGATGGTTTTCTGTTACTCCTAGAATTAATTTCAAAATTGTAATTTCCTGGAAAATTACCTACTATATTTTCCCCACATTTTCAAATGTCATTATGTCATTATTCTCTTAGGGTTATTTAAATTTTCTTTTACTTTCTTAGTGGCTTCTTTTATTTAAGTATGATATTAAACTTCCCTTTATTATATTAAGGTTAGCTAGTTCTTTATTTATCCTATACCTAAAGAATTAGCTTTGGGTTCATGTATTGCTTCTCTCCAGTTTCTGTTACCATTTCCTTTGAAGTTTTTCCTTCTACTTTTATTTGGTTTGGCATCCCTTCTCTAAATTCATAATTTGACTACTTAACCCATTTGTTTTTATTTTTTCAATTTATTTAAATATTTAAGGTGTGGAATTTCTTCTGAACATTGGGAAATATCTTAGATTCTGATACGCAGTATTTTTATTTTCTGTTGAAGTATACCACATAGTGTCTCCTTGACATTTGCTTTTTTAGCAGAGAATTCAGTGTCATTTTCACAGTGTAAAAGCCATTTCATGGTCTGGGAAGATGGATCAGCATGTAAGATCACTGGCTATTCTTGCAGGGCCAACATTGGGTCCCTAGTTCTCATATTGGGGTATTCACAAAGAGCTGTAAACCCAGTCCCCGGGGACCTAATGCTGTCTTCTGGATTCCGTAGGTACCTGAAAAATACACACATACCTTACAAACAGGCACATATAAAATAATAATAAATCTTTTTTAAGGTTGATTTCAGACAGTAGAGTTGGGTTTTGGTGAGTGTGTGTATATGTGTTCATGTGTGTGTACCGTGTGTTGAGTGCATGTATGTTTCTACACAGAGACCCAAAGTTGACTTTGGTATTTTCCTTAATAGTTCCTCCCCCTGTATGTGGAAGCAGTGTCTCTTCCTGAATCCAGAAGTCACCCTCTCAGCTAGTCTAGCTAGCCAGCTTGCTAGAGGATTTCTGTCTACATCTTTCCCACACTAGGATCACAGGCCCCCACACCCGCCCTGGCTTTGTGGAAGGGAAGGTTTCTGGAGGTTCATATTTCTGGTCCGCATGCTTATGTGGCAGGTACTTTACCCATTGAACCATCTCCCCACTGTTGTACCTCTCAGGCAATAGTTTTATATAGTAAAACCTGTGATCAGTATGTAGAAAAAAATGTCTTTTGAAAGATGACAAGCTTCCCTTTACTCTATGTAACAATGTAAGTTACACTTCACAAAATTCTTTTTAATTAGAGGCCCAACTAATTGAAAGCTAATAATTTGTTGACTTAAATATGTATTTATTGTTAGGATATATAGTTTTATTCTATTTTGAAAGTTTTTTGGGGGGGAGATTGGGACTTTCCTAACATAGGAGATGTAAAAATAAAGACCATGAGTGTGTGACTCAGTGATAGAACTCTTCTGTTGCATGTGTGGGCCCCAGGTTCAGAGCTTAGCATCATATATGAATACATGCACACATTCATGTGGAGAAAGTTCTACAAGCAGCTGAAGACACAGTCATTATTGGCAGCTACATGTAATGTTCACCATAATTGTGATTAGGGAAATTCTTGATAGATTTTAGTTGACAGTCTGGAGTGTGTGTGTGTGTGTGTGTGTGTGTGTGTGTGTGTGTGTGCACTTTCTCTGGAGAGACTGCAGTGACTAGTCTGATAGCTTCTTATATATTAAGATTTCTTCATAGACAAGACATTTCATGTGATATGATCTTTTTTCCCCTTTTCATATGTTTGTCTTGATAAAGAATGCCAGTTTAGATAGAGGGAGGAGATGGGATGGGGGAACCTCTCACTTTAAGCCTGAAGAGAAGCTGAACTAACTGGGCTACTTAGTTTTGTAGCTGGTAAAAATGCTTGAGATCTGAGAAGGAATCTGAACACAAAGGTGACTCTTACCTATGAAAATTTGGCATTAGAGAGGTTTTGGAGCCTTTTCTTTTCTTTTTTTTTTTTTTTAATTTGTTTTAGAAGCAGGGTCTCTGTAGTCCAGACTGGTCCTACCGCACAATCCTGCCCATTCCTCCAAATGCTGAGATTACAGACATGTCCAGTTACAGAGTTTGTTCCTCTGTGGGATTTTAGAATGGAAAGAGAGAATACACTTAGTGTTTCTAAATGTGCATATGTTAGGAAAATCTCAATCTCACACACAAAAGGAACTTTCAAAACAATAAAACTATACATCTCAACAACCAGTACCTATTTAAGATTCAAGTATCTTGTTTTCAGGGTAGGAACCATGGTGTACCTTGCTATTTGAAAGCCCTTTTATTGAGAATGAGATCTTCATTAACTATCACTAGGTTCTCTTATCTTTGTTTTTCAGAGGATACAAGCTAGCATTCTAAAAGCATTTAACAACCCAACTACGAAGACTGCTGATGATGAAACTAGAAAAAAAGTCAAAGGTATGTTGACTCTGTTAAGTTCTTCCTAGAACAATAGATTAAAGGTTTCTTCCTCCCCACAAAGATTAGGGAACATTGCAGAGTGGGTGGGGGAAAGCATCTGAGAGCCTGGGGAAAGGGTAGTGTTGGAAAACACTTTCCTCTGGACACAGCCCCCTATTCCTCAGTGTTCCATGCCTTAGAGAGAGTGGTGAAGGGACTTGTCTAGGGACAGACCCACACTGGCTCTATTTTCTGCATCTTGGGGCAGCCACGGGTGTGCAGTCACCATTGTTTATTTTAAGGAGGGGCTTCTTTGCTTTAGACTGGGAGACACTTGTCTAAAGAAAGCAGTTTGTTGCTCTGTCTAGTTCCCAATTTGAGTCTACTGCCACTGTACCTACATTGTTCACCTACATTGATGCTTACAGTATCAGGCATTGGTTCAACACTTTTGTGGAGAGGGAATTGAGTTCAATTCGGAAGGCAGCTACACTACCTCCTTTTATCTACACAAAATGCCTATAACCTCTAAAGATGTTGCAGATTGACTGTTTAATAGGCTAATAATAGTAGCAAATCTTGCCTGCTCCAGGTATTTCTACATGTCTGTCAATGTAAGACAAGCCAGTGATTAAGCAAAGCTTGTATAGATAGTGCAGTTTGAGTTTATATCCTGTGACATCCAATTCTTACTCTTAGTTTGTATTCTGCTCTGAAATACCAACGTTAGTATGAAGCCATCATTGTAGAGGACACTGTAAGATATTGTGTTTTATTTCTAACTTTTATTTTTGTAGTGTTATATTGTTTATAGTACATGACTATAATTTATAAATAAGTGCTCTAACATTCTATTGTAGTTACAGGTTTTAGACTTACTTTCTTAGTCAGGTGTAGTGGCACTCACTTGGGAGGCAGAGGCAGGAGGATCTCTGTGAGTTTGAGGTCAGCCTGGTCTACAGAGCGAGTTGCAGGACAGCTAGAGCTACAGAGCAAGGCAGCTGGAAGATGTATGTTCTCCAGTGTGTGCCTTGTTACTCTGTGTTGTGATGCTGCCATCTAGTGCATATTGACAGCAACGGCTCTGGTTTCTTCCCATTTGTGTCAGTTCTCTTTTTAATCCCTTGTTTGATTTTTCTTAATGAAACACTATATTTGTTAGTAGTCACTATAAAATGTCTATTGCTATTAAAGTATGTCTTTCAGTTATTAAGTGCTTTGGATAATACTCTTAATAATTTTCAACACTTTGATGATAGAGACTTGCAAACGATAGAAGTTTGAAAGCAGATGAACACTTTTGTTAATATACTTTCCGCCTCAGGTTTTACTGAGGAAACTTTAAATATCTGTCAGAGCAGAAAGATTAACACAGTGCATCCTTTTGTGTGTGTGTCACCTAACCTAACTACATCCGTAGCACATTGTTTGGTCAGTTTCCTCTAATAACTGGTTATTTTAAAGAGAACCATTAGCACAATTTCCATTGATCTGTGAGTACTTCATAAACAAAATAATTTCAGCTTTTAAGGGTAATCGCCAAGCATATGTGTGTACATGTTCACATGAGTTATTAATTGTCCAGGGTTCCTTAACTGTGCTTCACAACCTTGTTTTTTACATCCCTTCTTTATAGCCATGGTTCCAGAATCTTTAGCCTCAAAAAAATGGTTATTCTCCCTATTCTGTCTACCTTTTCATTAGGTACAGAGGCATCAAGATGATTAATGGGAACAGCAGGGGTGTGATATGAGTTAGTAGTTACTGCTATATTTATTTTACCTCTTAAAAATAGTTTGGGCTGGCGAGATGACTTAGCAAGTAACGGTGTGGAGCTGCCAACACTGATGACATGAGTTCAGTCCCTGGGACCTGCATGATGTTAATTCATATACATCATGGTACTCAACAGTCATAGCTCCTTTATAAAAGTGTAAAGGAGAAAGATGCAACATAGTACAATAAATACAATACTGGATATAATATAGATGCTACACTTTATCCAGATGACTTTTGAATAAATAAATAATGGCATGTAACTGTAAATCAGTGACTGTTTTGTGAATTTTTTAATTAAAAAATGGATGCTTTTTACAGCCTATGGAAAAGAAGGCGTGAAGATGAACTTCATAGATCGGATCTTTATTGGTGAATTAACTAGCACAGTCATGTGTGAAGAATGTGCAAATGTATGTACCTAGAATTCACTTCACAGAATAAACCTCAGTCACATTGTTTTGTTGTATTGTGTTTTATTGCTCAAGTATCACAGAGGTTATTGATAGATAGCTGATAAATTGACAGACTTACTTTAAATAACAATTACTTTTCAATAACAATAACACTTCAGATTTCCAACATTGTTTCATACACAAATGAAACCACTTGGTGTCTCCGAAGTAACTAGTTTTATGTAAGTGAGCTGCTTTTCCTTTATAAAGACTCATCTGCTTGCTCAAGATCAAAGATGTTAAAGCTTATAGCACATGAACCTGTTACTGAAGAAAGTAGAAATATGCTATTATGGCAACAGTCATCACAGTTAACTTTCCTGTAGCGATCAGACAGGTAAAGATCACAACAGCTCAAGTGTTCTGAGTAGAGTGCTTTTCTCCTTTAATCAGCTTGCAGTTCAGTTTTTTTTTTTTTTTTTTTTTTTTTTTTTTTTTTTTTTTTTGACTTAAAACAACTGGTGATTATGGCAGCAAAGAGGTTTCCTTCTACATGTAGTCTTGAAATCATTAAAAAAATATGATAGGTGGCTACATAGTAATTTTTGTAAAATATACCTTCCCCTTCTTAAATGTAAGCACATTTTTAAGTTTTTCTAAATAAACTTGTTTGTTTAAATGATTTCATTTTTCCTCTTTACTTACCTGAGAAATTCTGACTTCACTTCTCTTGGCTCCTCGTTTTGCTGTGTATGTGTAGCCCAGGCTGGCTTTGAACTGGAGTTCTCTTGTGTCAGCCTCCCAGGGGATAAGATTACATGTATATGCCACCATTCTGGATAAGCCCATCTTAATGTGATTGGATATATTAGCCTCTAGTTTATATTGAGGTGAGAGAGAAATTTCTGTGAAAATGACTAACTGTCACAGTGCAGTGCCCTAAAATGTGGAAATATAAGATTCTCACATTTGATTTGGGGTTGGTGTGTGTGTGTGTGTGTGTGTGTGTGTGTGTGTGTGTGGTTGTGTGATGTTCAAAAGGGTATGTGAACTCTTGACTTAATCTTGTTTAGCTTTTCTGCCTTCCCTAGTTTTATAAAATCAAGATAATTATATCTTCTCTTGCCTATGACATTGAAACATAGAATGTGACTATAACTTTTACTAAGGTTTAAAGAACACTGGGAACAGGAATATGGCCAAACATTGTTATCTCTGCTTTTTGCTTTTACTTTCTTTTTCTTTTTTCCTTCCTTCCTTCCTTCCTTCCTTCCTTCCTTCCTTCCTTCCTTCCTTCCTTCTTTCTTTCTTTCTTTCTTTCTTTCTTTCTTTCTTTCTGGATTTCTCTGTGTAACAACCCTGGCTGTCCTGGAACTCGATCTGTAGACCAGACTGGCCTCAAACTCATAGAGATCCACCTATCTCTGCCTCTGCCTCCCAAGTGCTGGAACTAAAGGTGTGCATTACCACTGCCCAGCTTTCTGCGTTTTCTTAACACTTCATATTGTGTTTTAACCTGAGATGTTAAGTCACCTGGAAAGTTTGATTTGTTTTGCTCGTTAACAACAGTGTGTTTCTATGTTAGAATTCTAACTGAAGTTCTCAATCTGCTTTTTCTTTTTAAGATCTCCACCATGAAGGATCCCTTCATTGATATTTCACTTCCTATTATAGAAGAAAGGGTAAGGAGAAGTAATCATGGAACTGCTGTGAAGAGTGTGCGTTCATTTATTTAAGCATCTGTTGAGCTTATTGTCTGTGTCTCAGAGTCATACGGTCTACACCCAACTGCGTTTGTATACTGTGTTTGGTTAGTAAGTTTGTGTACATGTGCATAAAGTGAATGTATTTTCTTACTTACTGGAGCTAGATCTGTAAGCCTTGTATATAGTCAGCTCCCAAATAATCATAGGGAGACTTTTTATTAATTATGAAAGCTTGGCCTTAGCTTAAGCTTGTTCCCAACTAGCTCTTAAAACTTAAATTCACCCATTTATATTAATCTAGGCACTGCCACATGTCTCTACCTCTCTACAGCACTGTGTGTCTGACTTCCTCTGAGTCTGGCTGTAAATCTCCTGACTCAGATTTTCTGGAAGTCCTGCCTATCCTCTCCCTGCCTAGCTATTGGAGATTCAGCTCTTTATTAAACCAATCAGAGGGTACCTTAAGCGGGTGAGGCAAATCAGAGACACATCTTTACATTATACAAAAAAGATTATCCCAGCAGTTGTATCTTGAAATTGTTAAGAAAATTACCTTTTTAAAGCTGGTTGGAGAGAAGGCTCAGCAGTTAAGTCACTGGGAGCCTTTCCAAAGGACCTGGATTCAATTACAACCACCCACATGGCTTGTGAACTTATAGCTGTCTTGTCTTAGTTAGGGTTTCTATTCCTGGCAACCCTTATAAAGAAAACATTTAATTGAAGTGGCTAGCTTATGGTTTCAGAGATTCAGCCCATTATCATCATGGTAGGGAGTATGGCAGTGTGCAGGCAGACATGGTGCTTGAGGAATATCTGAGAGTCCTACATCTTGCAGGCAACAGGAAGTTGACTGAGACCCTGGGCAGTGTCCTGAGCATAGGAAACCTCAAAGCCCATACCCACAGTGACACACTTCCTCCAACAAGGCCATATGCATTCCGACAAAGCCACACTTCCTAATAGTGCCACTCCCTATGAGATTTTGGGGGCCAATTACATTCAAATTACCACATTCTTCAACTCTAGTTCCAGTTCCAGGGCATCCATCGCCCTCTTGTGGCCTTTATGGGCAATGCATGCAAGTGGTGCAAACATGGCAACAAAACACCCATACTAATAAAATAATTTAACAAGTATTTTTTTTTAAAAAAGGAAATTAATTATCGTGTTACATTTCTAGTAAGTTACAAACTTTGAGAAGAATTCATTTGCTAAAGATGTTTTATGTTACATGTGGCATAGGTTTCAAAACCTGTACTTCTGGGAAAAATGAATAAATGCAGAGGTTTACAGGAGACAGACCGAGATCATGACAACAGCACTGCTACTCTAGAAAGTACCCATCAACCCAGAGCTGCCAAGAAGCATCCGTCACCTAAAGATAAGGCAAGTGAGATGGGGAGGGGTGTTTTTAATACTTTAATTTTGAAAAATCCCAAGTATGTTGCAAGTCAAAACAGCAGTATCTGATAAACACCCACCCTCCTATTTATCAGCTATACAGCAACCAGATCATGGCTGGTCATGTTTTCACCATCTGTATTCCATTACTTCCTCTTTCCCCAGCCCAGGTTATTCTGAAGGAAATCCCAGATATATTGTGTACTTGAAAGTATATCACTAAAAGTTACATTTTAGGGGCCCCGGATAGATCCCTGTGATAGAGCCCAAATGTTCACCACTCAGAACAACAAAGAAATAAAAATGAAGATGCTCTCTACAAATATTACCAAAGTATCAGTATATACTTGAACTTGTCACTCATTAGTAATGTCAAACATGTTTTAAAGTTTGGATTTATGATCTAAAAAACAGGATCAACAGATTACAGTTGATTAGCACACTTTTAAAATCTCTTTATAATCTACAGATTCCCTTCTTTCAGTGTGGTTACTGAAACAGTGTCATCCTTGTGTTAGTAGTTTCCCATGTTGAACAGTAATTCATTTTGCTGTTGAGTTCTTATGGCTCTGACAGGCTGTTTTCTCTCCATTCCTTCCTCTTCACCGCAATTAGGTCGAGAGGCCAAATTTTAGCTTTTGTTTAATTTTCAGCAAGACAACTTCTAGCCAGGTATGGTCGTGTACATGCCTGTATTTCTAGCACTCAAGAGACCGAAGGAGGATCCCAAGTTGAGCTTCATAGTAATTCAGGCCTGGGCTGAACTACAACAGTAGTAAGATTTGTCTCTGAAACTATAAATAAAACAAAATTGGGGGAGATGGAGCTGGGCAGAGGGAGGGAGAAATACTGATTTTTGAGTGGTGGTATGTATTCCAATCAGATAGGGACATAAAACTTTTGGTGTGTCTCTTTCCATATTACTAGCTATTCAAGCATCTTGTCAATACTTTTTCTAGTGGCATGTCTGGTTGTTAACTATTCTATTAAAATAGAAAATCTGAATTTGTATTTTATCTAAGAATATCTTTTAAATGAAATAATTTGTACTGACTTGGCAAACTAACATGTGAAATTGAAGCTACTCTATTAGAAGTCTTATAAGTGGCAAAACTTCAAAAGATAGAATGTGTGGTTTTCTCTTGTTTTATTTTTATTTTACTAGTTATCTGTCTGTCTGTCTGCCTGAGTCACTGGTTGGTTTTGTTTTTGTTGTTGTTGTTTGTTTTCTTAGACAGAGTCTTGTGTTATAATTCTGTTTAGCCTGAAATTCAGTATTTAGATCAGGCTGTCCTGAAACTTGCTTCAACCTTCCACTTGCTAGTATTACAGTTAAAGCCTGCCTCATTTCTGCGTCATAAGATACTTACAACACGTGCCTTTCCTAACAATGGAGAATAGAAGTCCTTTGATTGGAACCTTGTGGATTGGAAACGATGAAGGCACTTCAGGTTTTGTTGTGCTTTTATAAAGCATTGGCTAGTAAAATATGAGTGTGCAATGCCTTTCTTTTCTTTAGCTTGTGGTGTTTCTTTTGGGTTTTTGTTTGTTTGCTTGTATAGACCAAGCTGGCCTCGAACTCACAGAGATCCTTCTTTCTCTTTGCCTCCCAAGTGCTGGGATTAAAAGTGTGTACCACCACCACTCAGCTACTATTTATCTTTTATTATGTGCTCTTTACCAGACCAAATACATAATGATGGAAATAGATGTCTTATGTCTATTAGAAAGGTTTAAATCTCCCTCATGGCCCTGTTCTACAGAAGTCCTATTCCCTTTCCCACACCTGGCAGCTACTGTTGTTAGTCTCCCAGGTAACAGCTTTAAATTAGAGCCAGTCTATCATCTGTTGATTCTCATTTAGGTAGATTTGGAAATGGATCGCAGAGAAATGTTTACTTAATAACTGTGGGGCAGCTAAATAGGACTTAGTGGCATTTGTTTTCGATAAGGTCACAAGACACTTTTTTTCTGAAACATACTGTCAACTTACAGAATCAACTAAGTCATGACAGAAAGCATGCAAGAAAATCGCCATCTGGAGAAGAGAAGACTGGTGTTCTGCGTCG